TCTGTAAAGATACGTAAAGGTTCGAATGCACTGTTGTCGGTTGTGACTAAATGTAGTGCAGCGTAAAATAAATAAATAAAACTAAACATAAAAAATTGCATTAAATTGTATTTAAGCATAATTTAAAAAAAAAATGTTATAAAATCTTGAATCTATAACTAATTAATTTAACTACTTTTCATGAGATTTTGCCAACATTTCAGAATTAAATCTATTACAAATTTTCAATGTTGACAATTAGTGGCAACACGGTCAAATTGCGAGCTGCGACGTCATAGAAATAAATTCTGGGTTTTTATTTGGAGGTATTTCTTTGTTTTCTGTTTTCTCAAGAAGGACTTTGAATTTTTCAAAAGTAAAAATACAGAAAATTCTGTTTTTAGTTGCTTTATCCAAATATGCCAATTTCAAAAATTAGTGAAAGAGCCCATTGGAACAAAAATACAAAGGTTTAACAGATGTTTAACCGATCTCAGAAAAAATAGTAGTCGGCTACGCCTCGCCCGTCAACTTACACCGGCGGCCGAGAATGTGTCACTTTTCCACCTAAATACACAATATACTATTTTTGAATGGAAATTTAAGTGCAGTGGACACAGTGAACCCCTTTCGGCCGCGGGTGCTCAGCGAATAAAGACTATTATAACATGTAGCATACAATACGGTGATGAAAAATTTATGGAGCTGGAGAGAAGAAAGTACAAGATGATCATGTCTTCACTATAAAGTGTCACAGAAGCTGTCTTTCAATCTACACATTTAAAACACATTTGAAAAGAGCAATGCTGTCGACTAGATCAGAGATCAGCTGGTTCAGAAGCAAGCCCCTCCTATCCAAAGAAACAATCGCAGCTCTGAAACAATAGCGTTTGAATTCCAGGAACACTGCATTTTCTGTGCAGAAAATTGTTATTTGACGAAGGATCCGAGACACCTTGAAAGATGGAGACCCACATATCAGTATCGCCAATTAGAAACAAAAAACAAATCAGTAAAAGAATTACTTATTGAGACATGTGATACAAGAAACGATAGCTGGGCAGCCGAAGTTCGACTTCGGTTATCTGGTTAGTGACCTAAAAGCTGCTGACGCAAAGTACCAGGTGAATTGCCGAAATAAATGCATGAGTACTAGAAATGTTGAAGATGCTAAACGGAAGAGTCAATAAAAAGAAGCTGCAGCTACAAATATAACATTCATTGAAACTCTAAGAGCATTCTCAGCAGATATAGAACGTATTTGGAACTCTAGAAGTACACAAACTATACACACTGATAATGGTGGATGTGAACTTAGCAGATCAATTTTGATAAAAGCCCTACAAGAGCAATTTTGTGATCTAGTTGTGTTGTCTGCGCCAGGTTATGGTCACATCATCATCACTTTTCCAAACAAAGTAACATCAATGTTAAGATTATGTCCTGATGACGGTGATGATGAACTAAATGCTGCTATTTTTAAAGTGGCAAAACAAATAAAACGTGGAATTCTAGAAACAAAAAATAATAATAAAGAAAATATAACTTAAACGTTAGTTATAACAACGTTGTAGAACAAACCAGCATCAAGACCCTAATGCACTTTGTGGAGCACTATGAACAAAACTGGATAAGACTCCACCAGCTTTGTTTATAGGAAGTTTAGTGTCAGCAACTCTATCTAATACATTCACAGATCTTCAGATTGCTTTACATATAAAGTTTCGACATTCAAAAGAAGTGGTCAACTTATTAAATAAGTTTCATATATCATGTACTTATGATGAAGTTTTACGCTTTAAGAAGTCAGCAGATGAGGTTTCAAACAAATGTGATCTGTCAGGGATTTTAGTTGATAGATTTGAGGAAAAGTTCACTCAGATTTTTGTAGATAATTTTGATACTGAGATATCTTCACAAAATGAAAAAATGAGTACACATCGCATTCACTAGCTGTTCTAGTTGCACAAACGAAACCTAAAAGTGAAAGCACTACTCAGTGTACCATTAGAAGAATGATATGCAACGTAACATAGATTGAGACACCAATAGTGAGATCATGGAAAAGAAAAACCACGCATGCCCAATAATTCAGCATTGAGATCACCTTTGTCTTTAAAAGTTTTGTGTCGTAGTGTTCTATCAATTTAAAAAACAAGAAATGTATTTTAAGTTTTTAAAAAACACAAAAGTGTCCAGAGTTTAATGGTTATAATAAAAAAGTTATACGTGAAAGCGGTTGCCAGCTGAAATCTGCGACAACCGCAGTGTACAGGCCATTGATTGACATGACACCAACGCATCCTGATACTATAATGACTGCTTTGGTTGAAGCTCCAGTATCTAACTCACAGGCTGGTCAGGAAATAGCAGTTGTGGGATGCATCTCTTGATGAGTTTTGTTGGTTCAATCGGAACACTTAGTCTAACAGTGGTTTGGAAGAAGTATAATGGACGGCGTTTTTAGGGGAGTTGAAAAAATGCTAACAGGAAAAAAGTTCTCACAAAATATGCGAGCATTACGAATGGTTGCTGAGGAGGTATTGAGAAGTGTATTTGAGACTACACATATAACAGACTTTGCAGCCCTGCTATCCAAACTTGACGAATTAGGAGGACAAAGCAAGACAGCTAAGCTATGGGTTGATGTACCTACTGATAAAGCCAGTCTTCTTAATGATGAAATATGTGAGGGCTGAAAGGGAGGGACATTGGCCATTACACATAGAAACAGTGAAACAAATGATGTCTTACTTTTTCGCTGCTGCACACACTAATTATGCTCGTTACGGTCTTTTCTATCTCAGATCTGCTGAAAGACTACCTGAATCTCGATATGTGGATAGAGACAACATTCATGAGATTCGGTCACAGCCAAGGTGGAATAATAGGTATTACTCGACCGGAAACCTTGAAAACCTGATGGACCATAAGCTTGCACATATGTTCACAACTAGAGCAGGATAAAGAAAATTTAAGTGAAGCGAAAAATAATCTTGTACAAAAGGTGCATAAAGAAGAAATGCAGTCTAGAATTGCTTCGGATGCAAAAGACAGTGATGGAATAAAAAAACAAGCTAAGGCTCCTTATTGACCCATTGGATCATGGAACCCACTCAGACAATATAGTAAACATAGCATCGGGCGTGGTGCTACCAAATACTATTAATGTACACGACACTGTTAACATTGGAACTGAACAAATGAAAAAATTCGAAGAAGATTGGTCATCGAGGTTTCATTTGACTATGCCCAGATTAGTTGTAACCGGATGTACAGCAAGGAAACACGTAAAAGTTGGCAGTGTAAAGGTGTTCGATACTGGTATTATTTACTCCCGAGTTATAGGGCTTTAGGCAAGCAAGACAAGTAGATATTGGTACCATGAACTCTCACCTGTACCCACCCAATGTTTACCGATTCTGGGAGATATAAGGATCTGCAAATCTAAATCGAGCTTGAAGAGACACCTCCAGGTTTCTTGATCAATAAGAAATAATTGTGTTGAGAACACAGTTATCGTAATTGATGGGTCCGCACTCCTATGGTGTATACAGTGGCCAGAAAAGGGGACTGTAGATGACTTTATAAAGGCAGTGAAAGCATCTATAAGCATACATTTGCAGCATGGAAATGTGTACCTTTTTTTTGATCGGTACAATGAGTACAACACCAAAGACTGCACAAGGTCAAGTAGCTCTACAGGAGTAACCACAGTTTGCGTTCTCACATATACAACACCTGTTCCCGCAAAGAAAGAAATTTTGAGCTCGAATGAAAAAAAGAAGCCATTGATTAGACTCATTTGCAGTAGAATTATTGGCAACGAATCGTTTTAAAAAAACCAGACTAGCAAATACAGGCCAATTTTGACAGGCCCAGAATAAGCACCCTACGACATTTATCGTGAAGAGGTGAGACGAAGACATGACCTAAGAAATACCCACGAAAAAGCAGATACGATTCTTGTACATGTTTTTCTAGCTGCTAATGAGCCAAGCAGGTTGCCGTCATATCAGATGACACAGATGTTTTTCTGCTCCTTTTACAACCTCAAGAAGATACCTACTACAATTTTAATGGAATCCCCTGTCCAACGTACAAGAATTGACATATTGGCTATTAAACACGAAAATATAATATCTGATGTGCTAGCGCTTTATGCTATTACTGGTTGTGATACCACTGCCATGTGTTATGGCATTGGGAAGATAAAAGCCATTAATGTTTTAAGAAAATGACACTCCTTGTCATTGGTTGGAGATCTACACGCTGATCTGTGTGATATGAAACGGCAAGCACATACATTTCTTAACGGGGTAAATAAATGTAACACAACTTCAGAGGCTCGTGTAAAATTGTGGGCAGTTGGAAGTGCGACATTTCAACTACCGAAACTGTGCCACTAAAAAATTCAGCGTTTGAAGAAAACCTTAAGTGAGTTCACTTACAAACTTGCATTTGGAAAAACTCGATGGAATCAGATTCAGTAGATATGGATCCACTCCTTCATAGCTTCTATAGGAATGAAAACTCAATTCCTGCTGCCTACGCCAGACAATACTGAAGTTGCGCTACCGGAAATTCTGAATTTAGTTAAGTGTTCTTGCGAAAGTGTATTGCCATGTAAGAGCAATCGATGTAGTTGCAGGAGTGCCAGCCTACCATGCACCATGTTTTGCTTATGCAAAAATAGTTTCTGTTCCAATGATTTGACAAGATTTGCGTAGTAGAAGTGGAACAGGATGAAGACAATATCTATGAACCAATTGAAGACGGTACTTTCGAAGAAACATCTGACTAAATGCTGATTTCAATTTAGACATTTCATTATATTTGAATATCGAATTGCCCAAGGATGCCAGAATGTCATCATCCATTTTATTATATCTTAATATGTCCTTGTCAGTATTCAGAAGTTAGAAAAATTTAATACAAAATTTTAGGGTATTGCTTTCGGCAACCGGACTAATAAGGAATCTTTTCTCATGAAATAAAGACTGATAAAAAAAAAATCATTTTACTAAGACCGTTACTTTATTATCATAATAATTCACTAGTTAAATTTTCGTAACACCCTAAATATATGTTTATTGATATATTTTCCCACATCTTTCGCCCATACAAAATCCATATGGGACCAATGCTCGTATGGTACTTTATAAACATCAATCACATTGGGAAGTCTAGTTGCCAACTCTATAACATCCTAAAAAAGAGCAATCTTATGAAACTGGTTTTAATTGTAGAATAAGAGGATTATAATTTATAAACGCACTAGTGATGTAATGGATTAAATTCAAAGTTAAAGTCCTTACCTCTTCTGCTATAAGGATGTCCTCTTTACCATACATTAAAGATATCGGGCAAATAATGTTGCTAAAATTATATTCCGGTGGCGTTGAAGAGTTGTATCTTTTTTTGTTTTCTTTTGGTCCCCAGTCATAGTTCATGAACTTTCCTTAAATTTTGTTAGAAAATAATATAGCTTTTGAACAGATTCACATTGAAAATTATTTCCTAGATCAAAAATTGTAATGGTCTTAGAATTTCTTAAATATTTTGGTACTTAATTCTTAATTGTTTGTGTTGAACTTACCTGTTTGTACTAATTGCGCATAATGTAAGCCTTGATAAACTGATGCTCCTCCTGGTCCAATACTTACTATAAAGTTAATAGTGTCCTGAAATATTAATACATTTTAGGTATAAAAATATAGAAGCAGGAGCATTATATTATAATCGTTGATCTTGTACTAGTAGCTGTGGTTATTAATTTGTAAATAGTGAGAGATGGATAAAAATTACTCACAAACTAATAAAACAAGGGGCGATTTTTTCTCACCGGATCAAGTTGTTCTTCAGTGAATCCTGCCATGGCGGCTAGTGCATTTGAACATAAAGCTCTGGCAGGTGGTTTTTCATCGCAAAAACTATTAGCTAATAACCTTACTGCGTCATTTGAAAGAAGATTTTTTGGTATCATCTCGTAAACTTTCAAGGATTCTGCAAGATTCTGGAACATTAAAGAAAACACGTATTGTATCAATGTGATATCGATTAAATCATCATAGAAGGAGTGTATGTAAGCTTGAGATTCCAGGTTAATCTTTGTAAATAGAAACTGTCTAAAGACAAAGGAACGAGCCCTCAGTCTCCAACAGTTCGGTTAGCCCTGACCAAGGCAGCGGATATACGTATACGATGATAAAGCCTAGTTCTCATGAAGCGGTGTTTTCAACACCATGGGGGCGTTATAGTTGCACTCGTCTACTATTTGGAATCTGTTCAGCACCAGAGGTATTTCAAGAAATAATGAGTTCCTTGTTAAAAAACATTCCAAACACTCACTGCTCAATGGACGATATTCTTATTTATTCCGACTCCCAGACTTTCAGAGACGAACTTGCAGTTTACAACGAACTCATATTCAAGGGCGAAAAAATAATCGTTCCAAGATCTCAGGTACCTACCTAAAATGTTAGTAATATCATTCATGAAGGGCATTTTGGTATCCAAAGTTGTCTTAAACGAGCAAGAGAACTACTTTACTGGAGAGGAATATCACAAGATATTCTTAGTTATGCAGAGTTTGTGAAAAATATCAAAGAGCTAATCAAAAGAATAGTATATTGTTGTATTAGGAGTAGAAGCTTTACTTTTTTATGCTGAAGCGGTAGGTTTGCGAGCCGAACGCACTGATCTAAAAAATAAATGGATAAACAATTCATACGGCTTGATTGGCAAAATTTGTGCGAAAATTTGGGGTCAATATTCTACGAACAGTTGTGCAACGGAACAGCCTAACGCCTGCGCAGTGTCTTATCTTTCGAACAACTGTTCTAAATTTTAAAATTCCTTCGTTTTCATTGGCCAGATTTTGTGCACGCACAATACATGTATCTACTGCGCACGCTCACAGCTGTTCTAGTCAGTTGTTTTTGTTTAGATTTTGACCTCGTAAATTAGCAGCATTAGAAGCGTTCTTTGTTTATCCATTTATTTTTGAGATCAGTGGCCGAACGTAGTGAGGCTTGCAATACTGCTGAAGCACAAAAAAGTGCTTCTACTCCGTATACAACACGCTATTTTTTCTCCAAACGAATGGGGTATGCTTGGGGGCAAGTGAATGGTTGAGCGGCAGTAAAAGTACGAGCGGCACCAAAAATACTTTTGCTGCCGCTAGGGTTGCCAAGCAGCATAGAAATCAAATTTCTACCACCTCGACAGGTGTTAACCCGCTGGATTTGCCTAGCAGCATAGAAATCAAATTTCTGACATCTTGACAGGGGTTGACAAAGTGACGTTTTTCTGACGTTTGGAGAAAAAACAATTTTACTGAAGCCGCTACCAGAATTACCATGGCAAATAGTTGGCACTGATTTGTTAAGTGTGCATGGAAATGTTTATATTACTATTTACGACCAGGGTTTTTGGACGTGAAAAAACTCAGAAATCAGACATCCTTGGAAGTAATCGGATATCTCAAAGAATGGTTTGCAGTTCATGGAATGCCTGAAAAACTAGAAACTGATAATGTACCGCAATATACTTCTAGAGAATTTAAAGATTTTTCCAAGAAATGGTGTTTTCAGCATGCAACCAGTAGTCCATATCATCCAAGAAGCAATGGTTTATCGGAAAGAGGTATTCGAATTGCGAAAAATCTGTTAAAAAAATGTATATACAGACGACAAATCAGATATATATATTGCTTTACTCAACTACAGAAATACACCTAGAAACCCGTCATTGGGTTCACCTAATCAAAGACTTTCTAGCAGAATTACAAGGACATTACTTCCAGCAAACAGTGAAAAGTTGAAACTAAATATTGTAAAAGATGTCACAAATGAATTGAAAAGATTGAGAGAAAAAGGAAAAGGTTATGCAGACAGACATGCCACTCAACTCTAGAAATATAAAATAGCAGATTCTGTTAGAGTACAACTTCCCAACAGACAATGAGAAGGTGCAACGTGCAACCATAACAAACGTTGATGATCAAACAAAAAGGTCAGTATTCTTAAGAACATCAGACGGCAAAGAAAAAATCAGAAATAGTAGTCAAGTTCATAAAACAAAAGCTGATTTCAACATTCAAATGGTCAACCAGAAACTCTAACAGAACCATCGATCGAACAAATAGGACGAACTTCCAAACTTACTCCGAACAAAGACGGACAAAGTCTGGAAGAATAATCAAACCCGTCCTTAGACTAAATTTGTAGATTTATTCCATTTTTTTTTAATTTGTTAAGGGGGAGATCTAAATTATATTTGATGTTTTCCTGTATTTAATAATTGTTAATCAGTTTCATCTCGATATAAAGTTTTTAGTTTTGTCATAATCTGGTCAAATGAGTACAATAAATTATCTTATAAAAGTATAACTTATCGTTACACATACAACGTAAGATCCTTGAAAAGTTAAGAAATTTTAGAGGAACTAAATTACGAACTCGATAAAATAAATTGGGAAAGTCAGAAGAAGAGCAAAATAAGACCTAAATCAAAATGGTCCGATACCTACAAATACTCAAGAGCAAATCTCACAGGGTGACATACATTAACAATGAAAATCAACAAGAATAGGTACAACAATCCAAATTTACGCTCCAACAAGCCACCATGAGGACCAAGTGATAGAGGAACTTTATGAAGAAGTGACACAGTGTCTGCATGGGAACAAAACAGAGTACAGACTAGTTATGAGAGATTTAAATGCAAAAATAGGCCAAGACTTTTTACTGACATATCAAAAATGTATACGTATTAGGCTCATTCACGACAAGTAGCGATCATAGAATGTTAAGATGTAAAATACCCATAGATGGCAGACTAGAAAGAGCAAAGAAATTCAACTGCCTCCAAAAGAAATTAAGCACACATATCAGTAAAACTCAAAAAACAAAATTCACAACAAAATTAACACAAAAACTGGACAAAGGCCCCATAAAACCCCACGAAGACATGAATCAAATTAATAAAAGACTAACGAAAACAATAAAAGAAACAGCAAAAAATATCATGACACCGAAGGTTAGGTCAGAAAAATTGGACGAAGAAACAAAACAAATGCTGTAGAAGAGAAGAAAACTCATGAAACAAGGAAGAAGATACACCAGAATTGATTGATTGATTAAAAATTACAAAGAAGCACAAATCGAAATCCGATGGAATAACAAAACGGCTCGAACGTTTTCAAAAAGCAGAGCGCACACAAACGAGAAATAAAATAACAAAGAAGTGTAATGACCCGGGAAAAATAGACCCGTAATTTACAATGTCTTAACAGTAAAAATTAAATGTAATCAAATAATCAAAAATTGAATCTCCAATATTTCAAATCAGTATCAATAAAACTGGAAAATGAGAAAAATTAGCGTTGACATCAAATTAATTAAAATTCGTTCAATTTCTAATAGCCAGTCATCAGGCGTGTGTCATCAAGTTAGTTGAACTCATAAATCAAAACCCGGAAAAGATTAAATACAAGGTTAGGTACCTAAATAAATTAGGTCCAAAAATGACAGAAATTTCAAAAGATCTTATAATTTATTGCCGGCACGAGTTCGGCTTTTCCTTGAATTAAGTGTCCTCTACATTCTTTCCCATTTTGTTTACCCCTAATAATCATGCAAATTTTGACATTATCCGATGAGCAAGTTATAATTTTGGAATAATATCTAGGTCGACCAATAGAATTGAATTACAGATGGTCAAACGATTGCCCATATTGTCGATTGTGGTGGATAAATAATAGTGTCACGGCTTTGGATTGCCTGACAGAAATCTTGGGTTCGTTTCGTTTATTCCAAAAATCAAAGTCCAATTAACACAGCAATAATTTATTCCACGTAACAATACACTCTGACACTAATTACTTTAATAACTAACTCAACAATTAAACTCTTTACAAAAATAATCACTATTTAAATCGTATCACAGTCGAACTGAAACTTAAACCTACAAGCTAAAACCCGTCCTTATATAGCCGTAATTTATTCCTGTAAATTCCAGAAGAACCTGTTCGACCTTGTTCCCGAACATCAACGTAAAATATTGAATCTGCTATGCGATTCTTGACACACTGGCGGCCGTTGCAATAGTATAAAAGGGGCGACCGTTCAAGTAGGGAGCAATCGCATCAATCAATTATCGAGAATTAGACTCAATAATTAGTAGTATTCAGAAGTGGCGAATTATCTCAAGTATAAAAAGTCGAGCCTCGTAAATGTAAAAATTACAGTAAAAAACTCGAATTAAAAAAAAAATTAAACGTTTCAGTTTTTATATGCGTGCTCTAGCTATTTTGAAGTAAATAATAATTAGAATAATTAAGTGAATTTAGGGGCGATAATTTAAATGTAAGTACTCTAGTGACAAGTTTTATTTTGACTTTATCAATGTTGAAATGACTATGAAGTGAATTGACTATGAAGCTTTAGCCGCTTTCGGGTGCTCCTAGAACACTTCACACCTGTCAGTGACCTCTCATACTCCATGCGTTTTGCACTCGAACGTTTGAAACCGAACGGGTCAAACTGTAGCCTTAGTTCCTACTTCGGAGTGAATATTTTTGTGCTTAGTAAAGATAGAGAAATTTGATTCAAATGACTTAATTGAAATGAATTTCACTGAAGAGTTTGGATAATCGAATTAACAGATTTTGTTCCGTTTAGAAAACGATTAGTTAGATATTTTGGTTTCTATTTAAATGAATTTAGATGAAATGTTCATTGTTTTGATAGTATTTACTCTAGCTAAGTACACCCTAGTCCTCGAAGATGTGTTGAAGGAACTACATTGGGAAAATAGAGGAATCAATATATCTGGAGAATAACTCAATAATTTAGGATTTGATTATGACATCGTAATATTCGCCCCGAACTAAACAGACTTAGAAATCATCCTGAAAGAATTATTTCAACAAGTCAAGAAGATCGGATTAAAAATAAACACATCAGAAACAGAGTTTATGACAAATGAGCAAAAGGATAGGGATACATTAAAAATAAAAAAAGTAAAGTCCTACAAGTATCTAGGAGTTCTAGGACAGGAAATAACTCTTGGCAAAATCAATCAAGAGAGTCAAAGCAATAGGAGACTACGACTGGGATGGTCCGGCGTATGGCGAAATGCGAAACATATTCCGATCGAAATTACCTTTGAAGCTGGTAACTAAAGTCGGAAAAAGTAACAAGATGAGGACCCTAGGGGGGACGAATAAGCGTCGGCAGACGTCAAAAACGCTGGTACGACGACATCAAGCAAATAGCTGGACTAAACTGGTACCTTCCAGATCGTGAATAGAAATACCTGTGAAAATCTGAGACAAGCCTATATCCAGAGGATAGCGAACGGTTAAGAATAAGCTCATAGTAAAGTTTCCATTCTATGATTATCGTTTATTAAAAGTGAAGTAACTGAGTGAATTCTTACCTGTAAATATTTGAACATTGGTGCCATAAACTTGAGAAAAGGTTGCTTAATATGACTCAAAAGCGCAGAAGGACCCATACCAATCATAACGTTAATTTTGCTATTATACGGGTAACTGAGTGAATTCTTACCTGTAAATATTTGAACATTGGTGCCATAAACTTGAGAAAAGGTTGCTTAATATGACTCAAAAGCGCAGAAGGACCCATACCAATCATAACGTTAATTTTGCTATTATATTCCGGCCTCTCTGACATGGCAACAAAAAATACCGTGGTTCCCTGAGAGTGTCCAATGTAATGTAATTTTGCAGCGTTGGTTACATTTAAAATAAAATCAATCGTAGCTGGGATATCGTAATAACCAATTTCATGCCATCTAAAATTTAATTGAGGCATGATTTTTTTGGTAAACATTAGAAATTCACTCACGTGAATCTCCAAAACTCTCTCATGTCAATATCGGGATCCAGAGTACGGTGTTTTCTGGAATGCCAAGTTCCACGTGCGTTGAATGCCCAAACGTCATATCCGTGGTCTGCTAGGACGTAAGTTAAAGCTTTGGTTGGTCCTCCTATGATGAAATTTTCAGCTGAACCCATAAGACCATGAGCTAATAGTAATGGATACTAGAAAAATATAAAATTATATTATTATTTCTTTTTTGTTTGTGATTTGACTTATTTTGAAACTTAGCAAATTCATATTGTCTGGGTAAAAAAGGACGCTCCGATTTCCATAAAGTGTCCTCAAGTTTTTTGAAATATTTTCTTCATCCAATAACTGAATATTTCTCACTTCACATAGGTTCTTGTAGTGAAGTTCGTGAAAAGTTTTGAGTATTCAAAGTCGAAAGTACGTACACGAAAATATTTTTTTGTCATACGCTCCCAAAAACAGCTATTTTACGGACTCATTCAAGTCCGTAAAATGCTTCTTTTTACGATTTTTTTTTTCTTTCTGGATGCACCCTTATGATTTCAAAAATTAAGGAAATGTTGCAAATTTTAGCGTTCTGAAGAATTCTAAAAAGCGTAAGACAAAAAATAGTGTTTGTCACACGTACCTAACGAAGTTTTTCAGGACTCCTCTGCTATTCTGGACTCGGCTAACGCCTCGTCCGGAAACAGCAATGATTCGTCCTGAAAAACTTCATTTTAGGTACTTGTGACAAAAATAACTATTTTGCATCCAATAAATGAAAGAACTTATATAGTTTCTTACCCTGTTTGGTACTTTCGTTGTACTATTTCGTCCGAACGGTACTCTGAAAATGTCCAATAAGTACCCGTCCTCCGTTTCAACTTCATAAACTTCGGTTGGGTAACCATGACTTTTAACTATATCGATCTGAAAAAAATATATATATATATAATAACTTCGTTGTTGTTTTAATCAACTTACAAAATGTAAGTTTTCCTGAGCATTAATTTGTTTGAAATAGTAAAACGCGCATAGCAAAATAAATACAAACTTTATATTAAAAAATACAGTCATGTTCTCTTGAAAAATGTGTAGCTATATAAGAAAGGAGTGTGAACTTTTTTCTACAATACCACGAGTTTAATGTTTTTTTTTTTTATAACGATGAGCCAGCTTAAATTACACGCATTAGGTACAAACTATAATTATTAATTGTAACAACTGTTTCCATGTTTGGGTAATGGAAATCAGCTGTTAACTAATTCTTAATTATCGGGTCACTTTATTTTAACGAGAATTCATACAAAATATGGCTTTTGTTTGTAAAACCTACATTGAATTTGAAATTTGACTCACCTATCGTGCAATTTGGTGAATCATTGATCTCATTTTACATTGTTTTTATTTAATGCCAAGACTCTTTTGAAAAATTTTGCCTCTAGCGAATAATGCTATTGTGTGTCGTGTGAAGCATTGTCAGTTACTTTGTTTTTTTCAAGAATTCAGAGATAATATGGATGAGGTTCTACAGGAAAATTGAGGTCACTATATTAAGTGTACAAATCTACTGCCAATAACTCATAGATTACCTTATTCTAGATTATGCAATACAATGTGCTTTGTAAGACAATGAAGGCTAAAAAAGTGTCTAGAAACGATATAACCTCATAGCACAGCTCATAGTCTCATAGTATAGGAAGTAATGACAGTGGATTTGTACACTTAAGCTTCTATTGTGACTTTTTCTTCTGGAAAATAATCTCAGATTTATCTTCTTGCTGTCCATTGACTCGAGAGATTATCGTGACATCATGTTTCAATTGCTCGGATTGTGATTCTCCATCCTTCTCTGTCCTGGAGCTGCTAGAGAAGCTTCTTGCAAACCATGGTTTGATCCACCCAGCGCGTGGAAGACCTTCCTCTTGGTCGTTTACCATTGATTTTTCCTTCGACGATCAGTTTTTCCAATCCGTCTGCTCCTGAAATGTGTCCAAAGTACATCAGGCTCAGGTATGACTGATTTATTTTCGTAAGGAATTGATACGTTGGAACGATGTTATCTGTGTACGAAATTCGGAGCATTCTTCTGTAGTCCAGGTCTCAGAGGAACATGTTGCAATGGGAAACCTCACTAGTTTTAGCTTGTTGCTTTAGGATATTGCAATGTCTTGAGGTATCTGGTGTAGTGTTTTTAGCGGTATCACCTCTGGGGGGGTGGCGACCACTTCAACTTGGTAGATGGGCATCGACCTTTTGGTTCTCAAGACACTCTCAACATTCACCAGTGGCTCCAAGACGCTATTGTCGCGGCGTTGCGATCTATCAGTAAGTATTAATGTGTGTGGGTCTATGGTCTATTCAGAAAACAATTTTGGGGTTCTTTAGGAAAAAAGCCAGGTGAATCCCAGGTAGAGGGTTCATGTATTATCAATATCAGACAAGGTGAATCCCAGGTAGAGGGTTCAGGCATCAATATCAGGCACGTGAATCCCAGATAGAGGATTCACGTCAGTGTCAGTGACATCAGATTGTCAGATAATCAGTCTTCTCGAGTAGTTTGTCTCAGTATCAGTCTCAGAGTATCAGTAAACGTATTAATCCCAGGCAGAGGATTCATGCCAGTTTCAGAGTATCAGTAATAGTCTCAGAGAAACAGTTATCAGTAGTGAGGATCCGGGTGGCTATAAAGGAAGGAAGGAGGCCACATCAGGGGAAAACCCTAAGGGAAAATCTCAGTTATGGTTACCACAGGGGAAACAGGGCCCCATCTCAGTCATAAATAAAGTGTCTTTCGCGACATGGTAGAGGAGCTGGGATCTGGTAAACAGGTAAAAGCTTTTTAGGTCCGGCAAGCACCTGACATCATTTACTATATGAGTGATCAGGATAAAGGAAAAGGTAAATATATTGAAAAGTCAAATATATTTGGGATGATACAGCACTTGAAGCGAACTCAAAAAGAACCATTTTGCGGTTTGTAGCCTCAATTTTTGATCCTTGTGGTTTTGCCGTTCCTCTAATTTTACCGTTAAATCTCCTTCTCCAAGAATTATGGACTCAAAAAGTTACTTGGGACCTTGGGACGCACCTTTGTCCCAAGAGAATCACATACAATGGCGACGGCTCGCCACTCGCTGTAAACTTATTGCTGAACTTCGATTATCAAGATATTATGGCCGTGCCGTTGGCATCAAAACATTCTGCCGCCCAATCTAGCCATATCCCGGAAATCTGACCAATCAAATTCGATGTGGCTATTTTGAGCGGCATAATGTTACTACATGGGCTAGATCAGGGGTCAGAATGCCGGGACGGCCTGTTGAACTTGTCCGTTAGAAGTGCCGCATGTTTTAGTTATTTGTCGCTCATTGCTCTGTTGAAATTTATGCGAAGACATTTTCATATTTATTCATGATGGAGATGGATGCGATAAAACTACCCACAACGTTTGTTTATTCGAATGTGAGTGAAAACACTTATCGTGCAAAAGGAAAAATAGTACCTACATTAATGGCCGTTTGCACCGACCAATTTATGGAAGGCGTAACGATAAGAAGGTATTCTTAAAGTGACATTCTCTCATGCAAAAATGTCATTTTAACGTAGACTTATCGTTAAGGCTTCCTTAAAACAGTCGGTGCAAACGGCCAATAATGTAGGTACTATTTTTCCTTTTTTTATTTCATGTACGTGCTTTTTTAATTAAGGTAAAACACCTAATGCTAAATCCAAATTTATTAACCCGTCATATCAAAAATGGAAATATTTTTCAATTCATCCGTTTCAATCAAAAAACTAACAATTTATTCGATAAATTCATGAAAAAAATCCATTGGGAACACGAATAAAATCTAAATTTCTGAATTGAATAACACGTACAAAAGACAACTATAGATTTTTCAATATCAAACATTGTTAAATTTAATGCTAATGCTCTATCGCCTGTAACATTCTGACCCTGAATCTAGCCCATGCAATAACATTCTGACCCTTCAAATAGCTCCATCATCGTCCCGATATTCTGACCCCTGATTCAGCGCATGTAGGAACATTATGCCACCCAAAATAGTCACATCGAATTTGATTGGTCAGGTTTCCGGTCTATGCCTAGATTGGGTGGCAGAATGTTTTGATGCGTACCGTTGTCCCATGGGATTCCAAGTTTCTCACTTCAGATCTTTCATTGCGTGTCGTTTGTCATCGGCAAATCTCGCTTCGCACCTATTAAAGATAAGAAACTCTTACAAATTGGAACTTCTAGGCATGCTGATTGGCCGCTGCTTGATGGATTTCGCAAACGATACCTTAAAATTACCCATCAAGACCCACACTTTATGGACAGATAGTAAAGTAGTTCTCCTAGTGTAAAACAGAAAGATTGTTACCTCCTTTTGTCAGTAGACAGGTTGCTGAAATTAAGACTCATGCAAATTTACACCTCAAATATACAGCATTTAATTCCGCAGATGTTGCTACGAGGTTTCTAACAGAATCCACTTCCAATTCCCAGTATGAATCAGTAATCACGGATAAACGGTCCTTTTAACTCTTGGGGAATGTGATTGGCCTTCACACAGAAGTACAAGGCGAAAAAACCGATTTAGCCAGAAATCTCACATTATGTAAAGATCAGGTTGGCTTGTTGAGGTGTCAAGGTCGATTCCAGAGTGCGGCTTAGATTGAAGGAAACTATCCGATACTTCTACCATCGAATACAGAGTTAACGAATCAGATAATCGAACATTTTCATACCAAAAATTACCATGTTGGTGTATCACATACGCTATCCTTAATAAGACTCAAATATTGGATACCAAAGGGAAACATGCAAGTACAGAAGATTATAAAGAAGTGTAAACGTTGCAAGAAGTATGGGAGTGGACCTTATAAATTGCCAGAGATGCCTCCACTGCCTGCCGAACGTGTAAATTATTGTCGTCCATTTCAATATACAGGCAGCAATCAATAAATGCTGGATATGCTTGTTTAAAGTCCGTCGTTTTTGATCTGACACTTTCCGTATGAGAAGCGAGGGGGTGTTTCATATGGAAAAAACAGGTGTGACGTCAGGTAACCATTGACGTTCTAATGTAGGGAACCACCAGCTCACATTCCTTTGGAGTATCAGATTAAAATCGACATACTATACGTGCTTATCAGTCAGAGTTGTTCATTTAGAAATCGTCAATGATTTGACAGCAAAAGAATGCGTTATGGCTACCCCAAGATTTGTGGCCATCAGATGTCTACCCAAACTCATAATCTCAGATAATGCACTGTAGGTACTTTAGGCTAACGGCCGAGGCCGAAGTATTCAAAAGTGACAATGACATTACCAACAAGTTGAATTAGAAATTTATTCCAGAACGAGCTCCATGGTTTGGAGACTTTTATAAGAGACTAGTGAGCTTAGTTAAACATTGTCTTAAGAGAACATTAGACAAGCAACTCCTTACTAACATCTAGCTCTGCAGTATATTTAAAGAAATCGAAGCAGTGTTAAATTTGAGACCTTTAACGGTAGTGGGAAACGAACTTGAGCATATCTTAACCCCAGCTGATTTTCTATATGTGCAATCTCCTATTCTTATGGAAACTTCCGCCAATGAATTTCTTGAATCAGCAATCTCTACAAAAACCAAATTAATAGACAGTTGGAAAAGAGGCCAATGTATGGTTCACGAATTTGTTGGTTTCTCAGTATTTGACCAGTTTGATTAACCGCCGCACGTTACATAAACAACCACGAACAGTCGCAAACAAAATCCCAAATATCGGCGATATTGTTCAAATCAAGTCAGATCTTAACAGAGCTCATTGTACGGTTGGAAAAATTGTAAACGTCATAACGGGCACTGATAACAACATTCGAGTAGCGCAAGTTGAAGTCAAATCTGGAGAAATTTTGACAACATTAATCAGTCACTTGTACCCGTTGGAACTTGATAATTTGGATCCTATTAGTAAAGAGCCAGCAGATACTTAGTTTTTTGAGTAATCGCATAGATCCGGTTACTACAGATTTACAGAATCGAGAAGCCCCCCTTATGAGAAATCAGATTCTAGTGAACCATCTAAGTATGACAGCAGAACAAGACGCGTGGCGGTCGTTCAATCCCAACAGAAAATCAAAGAATGGACTGGCGACACTGGCGATGCGATTTATCAGTAAGTATTGACGTGTATGCGTTTATGGTCTATTCAGAACACAATTTTGGGGTTCCTTAGGAAAACAGCCAGGCAAATCCTAGGTAGAGGCTTCACGTATCGCTATCAGGCAAGGTGAATCC